GAAGTGTCTCTGCTCTAGCACATGGGCTAGCCTAAGGTCTGTGCTTGACACATTCACAGCAGAAATCCTGGAGATAATTATGAACTTCTCAATGCTGGAAGCAAAAAGTCCACACAGGACAGAAAAAAAAGGAAAAAACCCTATCAAAACTGACTTTGCAATAGTCAGATAATGCAATTAGAGAAATAACTACAATGAATGAAGACAGAAACTATCTGCAGAGAGCTGAGGAACAAGGAAAAAACCAGAAAAAACCACCCCTCAACAGGAGGTATTCGTATACTAAAATACTGTGTTTTAGCAGCAAAATTATTAGTACAGGCCATGACAACAGACATCAGAGCAAAGAAGAGAAGGTGGTAAAATATCAAGGACAGAAAGACACTAAAGGGTCCAAGAAAAACACATAAAAAGTTAACTCTGACAAAGGAACACCAAGCATTAATAATACAAGACACCAGAAATAAAAAACAAAAAAAAGTAGAGTACTATGGCACAAAACTGATTTAAGTCAAAATCATTTCAGAAAAGATCATAAAGCAACATCTGCTAAAGGACAGAAAATGAAATTCCAAATATTGTTTGGAGGGAGAACATTCTTCTCATATGTTACTATGAGAGCCTATGTCTATGATGTTCAGTCAGAGAACAAATACTGCTAGGGATGATGCTCCAATATATTCCCAGATGTGGTAGCACACAGATTTCTTTTTCACAAAATAATCTGTGAACTGAGAGAGGCAATATAATTTCATATACCAATTTGGTGATTAATGAGAACATTACAGAAGAGCTGCTCCTAGAAAATAACCCTATGTCAGGAAAACATAAGCTAATTGATTTTAAATTGAAACAGAAAAAAATAATTAAGGAGTGTCAAGTTACTAGATTTCTTGAATGCCAAAAGGGCAAACTTAGCAAATGAAAAGAGCTGATACAAACGCATTCTGAGCTCTTCAGCTACATCAAGTCAAATGTGTTAAAACTACCAGGAATCTGTAACTTAAGCTGTGGTGAGGAAGTAGAATAGGCTCAAAATCCAAAGAGATGAACCTGTGCTCTAATAAGATTGTTCAGATGGCGCAAAGTCAGGAAGCATTTAACTAGCAATATTCCTCATGCAAACTTGAAATCAAGAACCTAGCAACTGAAGTACCATCTCTTGTTGGATAGTAATCTCATTTCTCTACAGAAACACCATTTCTTCAAAGTGATTAAAAAAATACCCACAGCTTATGAAACAAGCAGAGACTGGCAGACTGACCATATGCATATCCACTGTTGTTTAACCCTGTGACACTAGAGATGTAAACAAAGGCCAAAAAAAAAAAGCTATTCAAGCCGAAATGGCTATTTAAAAGCTCTCTTAAGTTGTTTTAGGGAATGTAGGAAGAGAGGTACACATGTGTTTACTTTGCAAGGTTTCTACCATTAGCAAGACTAGCACAGCCAGCTAACACAAGCTGAGACAAGAAAGAAGAAATTCAGCTTGCGTTATATTGCATTGTGACCAGCCTATAAAGGGGATTACACAAGACAATTTCTGCAATAGAATACGTGAGTTGTTAGCCCAGCTTGCCAAGAAAAGGAAAGACTTTTCCTCATTTGAGCACAAAGAACAAGCCATAAAGTAAATCAGCACATGCTGGAAGTAGACATCAGACTAATGAAGACAAATTACCTACGGATTGACATCCCTTTATCCCTGCTAACCCCTTCTCCTCCACAAACTCTTTGGCCTCAGTCCTTTTCACTCCATGAATCACATCTCTCTTCAATACATAAGACAATGACTTAAACTTCTTAAACTTTTACCTATCTGTTAAACCTGCCGTAGCTCAAACAGGTGTCCAAGTATCAGAGAAGAACAGGAGGCGCTAAATGTTAGTGGATGACAGTCACCCAAGTTGTGTGAGCTGCTGCCTTGCAGATGGGTCAGCTGAAATGTAACTTGCTCAAGACTCTACAGAGTATGTGGCAGAGAGAAATGCAGTGTTTGGTGCTGTTACTATTAAGAGAATTCCTCTAAAAGCAAAGAGGATAGAGATGAGGAGAAGGCTGAGGTACTCAACACCTACTTTGCCTCAGTTTTTACCAGTAAGACAGGTGCCCCTCAAGGCAACTGGCCTCTGGAGCTGGTAGACAGAGATAGGAAACCAAATAGCCCCTTGTATTCCACGAGGAAATAGTTGGTGACTTACTGAGTCATCTGGATCCTCACAAGTCTATGGGACCAGACGGGATCCATCCTAGGGTAATGAGGGAGCTGGCAGAAGAGCTTGCCAA